CACCTACTCAAAATAGCTCATACCCTCTTCCTTCCCTATCCTTTCTATTTTTGGGGTGATGCACTTCTTACAACATGTTATCTTATAAACCACATGCCTTCGTCTATCCTTCAAACTTAGGTTCCTGACTCCATCTTGTACCCTCCATAAATTCTATACATTGTTCCTTTCCACGTCTTTGGTTGCACTTGCTTTGTGCATGATCTCACTTTAGCTAAAGATAAACTTTCTGCCAAGTTTATCAAGTGTATCTTCCTTAGCTACTCATGCCTTCAAAAATGTTATCGTTGTTTTTATCCTAAACTTCAACAATACACTATCTCTATTGATGTTACATTCTTCGAGTCCACCACTTTCTTCTCTTGTTCCATAGATGAAGATGGTCATCTAGAAGTTTTGCCTATTTTTTTGTTGATTATTCTAGCATTAATTGTTGCCTCTACTCCACCACCACCACTTACCTACCACAAGCAGACACAACATCCACTGGTGGTCCCATCCATTAATCCTTTAGTATCATCTCATGCTTTAACTGCCCTCTTCCAACAACCCTTACACTTTGCTTTCTTATTTCCCTTTGAAAAAGGTATTCATTCATCTCAAAGTGATAACCCTTTTATTTGCTTTTTTTCTACATTATGATTGTTTATCTTCCTTATATTTCTCCTTTATCTCTTTTTTGGATTATGCATCTATTCCTAAGTCTATAGGTGAAGCCATGGTCAATCTCAACTAGCAACAAGCAATGTTGGAGGAAATGATTAGTTTGCATGCTATACACACTTGATAAGTTTCCCTTTTACCCCCTCCCTCAATGAGAAAACTGAGGGTTGTTGATGGGTCTATATGGTGAAGATCAGTCCAAATGGCGACATTGATTGCTTTAAGGTTGGCTTGGTGGCTAAATGATAGTCATCAAGATGTTGCTATATGTATCCTTCGATAAATCAAGAATGCATAAGGTCGTGGATTACTATATGAAAATAAAGGGAATTCTAAAATTGTCTGCTAGTTGATGTTGATTTGGTGGGATCACCATCAAATTAAAGGTCTACATTTGGGTATTGTATTCTTATTGGAGGGAATTTAATCTCTTAGAGGAGCAAGAAACATAACACAATTGTTAGACCCAATGTTGAAGCTAAATATTGTGGTATGATAGCAGTTGCATGTGAGATTACATAGCTTATTAGGAAACTTCTCCTACAACTAAATTTTGGAGACACCCAAAATACTAGATTGATTTTTGACAATTAAGTTATCAAATCCAGTCTTCCATGTACAAACTAAACACATAGAAATTAACTGTCATTTTGTGAGGAAAAAACTATCCTCAAGAGAAATCACTACGAACTTTGTTAGCCCAAGTAAACTATTGACAGACATGTTTACTAAGTAACTTGAGGGACTCATATTAATGACATTTGTAACAAACTTGGTTCATACGACATATATGCTCCAAAATAAAAGTGTTAAAGAGATGATTCTCTTATAATTTTATCTTACATAAATGGGAAAATATGGAAACTTATATAGCTAAAAATTAGGAATTACAATAGTTATTTCTTTACCTTAATTTTATCATTATTGATTATAAATAAAGATCATGTGTGATCAATTGACACATAATTTATGTAAATCGTTTAACACTCATTAACTATATACAAGAAGAAAAACTCATTAAAATTGTAGTTTCTTTCAATACTCAAAGAAGTGTTTTAGTTAGAGTGTTATTAGATTTTTACAACAATATTACAATGATGTAGATGAGATTCATATCATCCTAAACCTCCACCAGTGGTATAAGCACTTGTTTAGGCCTCATGGAAAGTTTTAAAAATAGTTTAAAGTGGCTTGGCCCATACCTGTGTATTAACATTTTCCCCAAGAATTTGCTATGAAAATAGATTATGCTGTCCCTGTTATCAGGATGACGTGATTCAGGCAGCATGATGGAGCGCAGAAGATCGAGAAGATGAGTAGGTGGCTCGATACGCATTATCTCCCATTCTTCTGTTCTAGCGTCCCAATAATAGCGCAGAAATTTTTTCATGATTGGGATCAACGAGCTCTCGTCGGTGTCTCTCCATAGAAGCTTCAGCAACGGGAACGGAAGCTGGTTCTCTAACAAAATCACATCCTGCACCACAAGATTCAGTTGCTCAACCTTAACATTCATTTTGTACGCTTCGCCAAGTTCGGCGTTTTCCAATATTTGTAGCAAGGCACAGGCGTCCACAAACAGCGTCCAACATATCATTTCTTTCATGCTACCGAAGCCTTGATCAGAAAAGTTTGAGAAAGTGGTAAAAAGATCCGTGGCGAACAGCTTCATCACCTCTTCCATGTTATCTAAAACCCTTCCGTGTAGACTTTGTGGGGCTTGTCCAGTGCTCCTGATGTACATTGCAGCCCACATTTGCTTGAACTGCTCCCCTAGCTGCAGTTTCGGAGCACCGTGATGGATGGGACCCAATGACATGAGTCTGGGTGAGTAGTGCTTCTCGTAATGCATTCCATCACGAACCAGATGATGTGCTACCCTTTGTATCTTAGCCCGCGCAGGTTCTCGCCTTACGATTGCGTTTTCTAGTCGTGTAAACCTTTCTTCCATGCTCACTTTTAACTTTGAATTCCCATCCATTCTCTAACAAACAAAAACACAGATCTGTTGATTATGGCCTTAGTGTTTGCATCTCTATAGACCTTACCATAAGTAAATTGTAGGCAAGGAATAAAGATCCTCGATAAGTAAATTGTGGGCAAGGAATAAGATCCTTACTTTTCATGTTCTGCAGTTTTATGTAATTAAAGCCGATTCCCCATGTCTCTATACTCCTGTCTATCTTAGTCCTTGATCATAAAAAGAGCCACCTACCATTTATTCTGTATCAAGTTCACTAGTGCTGAATAATATGAAGAAGTGTATCAGAAAAATTTAAGTCCACGTGAAAAGAGTCTTGTACCATCACTATATATATGCTATGGTTTTAAAATCTTTGACACACATTTAACCCCTCCTGTGTATTTCTTGTTTCTTCAGTTGGTATGAAACTTTGACCACTTGGGGTAGAGGTTGTGCAAGAGAAAAAAATCTTATGAAGAACTAAGAACAAGCTATTAATTGTCCACCTCTCTTATAGGGAGTCAAATACGACTACTATAAACAAAGGATGATAGCAATTTTTGATAAGTACTTCACATACATGTAGGATTTAATTAAGAATAAAAACTACATCTCTTTAGAAGAAGACTCTAATAGTGTGTTTAGATGAAGAATTTAGATAGAGTAATTTATTTATTTGAAAATTTTCAAATTCTTTGAAGTGAAATATCTTATTTGGATAAAGAATTTATAAGGAATTCGAAATTCAAACATTTGTGAAATTCCTTTAAATAGTAGAATTTGAGATTCTTCCAAAAAAAGTAAGAATTTGAAATTTCTCATATTTTTTTTTTCTTATTTCACTTATATATTTTATCTTATCTCTTATCTCTTCATATTTTTAATTATTGAATATTCAAAAATATTTTTAAAATTATTAAATATTATCTAATATTAAAATTTAAAATTATTAAATATTTAAAAATTAACTAATATTTATTTTTATAAAATTTAATTCAAAAATCTCAACATATAAATATATTTTTAAAA